TTTTTTTATTTATGATTATAAAAAGCATAACTGCAGATGACAACATAGCACTACTCCTGCTCACCGTATGCTACTAGAAGGTCGGGGTCTTCATGCATGTCAACCAACACCTACATTATACAAATTAAAATTACAAGAGATCACAAACTTCCTCACTGCTAACCATCACCATTTAACATACTAAACATGAAGTAGGACTGCACTCTAAATTACTTAAAATACCACAAACATGGCACTAGATATAAATTTATGAAACGAAGGAACAAATATTATTTATCTTAGGTAAAATAAGCTAGGATAATTTAACAACTTTAAATATTCTGTACTGGTAAATTTTTTAACTCAAATCAATGCAATACAGTTGAAAAAAGTGGTGAAGATGATTAGAGAAAGTTGACTTTCATGCAACTTCGTTTAAGGACTCAAAATGAACTTAAACCTGATAAAAGGGTTGATCAGCACCACGAGTCAACTTTTCAACATTTGCACCATCAATCCACGACTTTGACTCGCAGCATACTGGATCCATGCCACAAATGACGGCTCGATATCCTATGGTGTCGAATCAAATTATTCAAATAAGTGACACAATTACAAGATGCTAGTCAGCTAAAACTCATCATCAATACATGACATCCTGAAAGTTGGAAATGATTCTCCATCCAGAAGATTACCCCAATTCATATTTTCTATTTTTCTGATGAATGCAAGAGAACAAGGGTATTAGTCTAAACATAGGGAGTTTCCAGAAGAAAGAACCTGCTTTTGCCTTAAGTAAACCGTGTATTTATTGTAATGTATACTTTACTAAACATACTTTCTAGCTTCAAAATAAACTAGCTCAAACAGTATGTTAACCTTTATTCAATAATAATACTGCTCTTAAACTCATTATAATGTATACTTTACTACACATACTTCCTAGCTTCAAAATAAACTAGCTCAAACAGTACGTTAACATTTATTCAATAATACTGCTCATACTTTCAAAACAACTTACACCCAGAACTCTTCAAACCTACGTAATAGAATATTATGCAAGGAAAACAGACAAAAGTGAGCACTAAGAGTAAAATATCACCAAATATCTTGTGTTTCACTTGCTGGCCCAAACGGAAAGCATATTGTGCCTTTTCATATGCTTGAGCTTTTACTGAAGCAGATAGAGACTTAGCTTCCAGTTTTGATATTTGATCCCGTATCTCGGCAGCCAAACTGTAATTCTCACTCTGGATAGCGTTCTGCAGTTCTGCACTGAAAGATACGAATTTTCATGAACCAAGTGCCCAAATAAATTAATTTCAGAAAATAAAAATAAAATAAAAAAGAATGAAAATTGATGATGAAAGAACCCAAAACTCAAGAGTAACTATAAAGGAGGAAATCTCAAAGATATATAGCGCTTTACCGTAGCCGTAAAATGCTTATAGCCATATCTTGAGCTTCACTTTTAGATGTTGATCCCCTTCTGCTCTCTCGGAGTCTGATAACCTCAATCTCAACCTTAAGAAAAAGAATCCACTCCATAAGCTCATGAGGTAATCAAAATTTAATCACCTAAACCATATAACAGTATCATCAGAAATTCGGAAATATAAATTTCATGAAAATATACTTAAAGATTTACTAATTTCGATGCTCTCTATCAAATAAAATGATGACAAAACAAATAGAAAATAATAAAAAAAAAAATGACTTCAAAGTAGCAAATTAGCTGCCTCATCAAATACCAATTAGATGTTTCTTCATTTTTATTTTTTTTTTTCTTATCAGTTCTATGAAGTTAACAGTACTCTACTCAAAGAATAGAATCTAAAGAACAATTCACATAATCAAACCTCATTCAGCTTGTTCCTCAGTTGCTTAGCAATGTCATACTCCTCCAGATTCAGAGCATACTGCAAAAAAGGAAGTACTAACCCAATCAATAACCTTGTTTTTTGTCATCAAAAAAGAGAAAAAACTTGCAAAAGATTTGTTTTTATATCCAAACCTGTACTCGTGTTGCCAAATCCAGCTCAAAGAAAAACATCAGAATATCCTCGTTGACACTCTCACTGTGCTCACAGCTAGGGTCCAATTCCGACCCTTCCTCACTACCTTTAAACAGCCAACCAGCTTGAGACCTCAACCTTCCACGTCGAGAAACATCACACAGCCCTCCAAATGAAAAAATTCTTCCACGAGAAGAACAAAGACATGATTTCCCGGCCTCGACAGCTATATGCGGCTCTCTCACTTGGCCGAGATAAGCAACACTAAATCTAGAAGTCCCTAAAGTGTTTATCAACATTTGCACCATTTTAAGAGCCTAACAGCCCTCCAAAATTTTATGGATCCCCTAAAAGAAAGAAACTGAAAAGAAGGAAAAAAAAAAAAAAAAAAATCCTTCAATCCTCAAACACTTTAACCACGATATACAATCAGCAGTAGTTCAATTTTATAATCTTGAGTTTTTATCAAACAACTAACATACAAAACAATCTTGAGTTCAATTTTACGATTTTTTCGCCAAATAAAAAATAGAACTATTTTGGGCATTTTCTCAAACTCTTGCTCAAAAATGTGACATCCTATGGTTATGAAGCTACTGAATTTACCTAATCACATCAAACAAAAGCTCATGGGGTGATGAAATCATCTCCGCCATTAAAGACATGAAACCACGGCGCGTATAAAATCAAGAAATTAAGTTAATTTTAACTACACCAAGCACAAAGCAGCAGAGTTTATGTAATTGCTATCTGGTGTCAAATTTTAGCAGATAAAAATGAAAATCATTAGGTCTTTCAGCAGATGTACCTCGGAGTTCGAGGTTGCGTATATTTCAACTGTGGCAATAGAGCGAACACCTCGTACGGTGGCTAACTTGACAGAAGCTTTTGTATGTGGGCTTATGGTTTTGTTCTGCAAACTGCGTTTAGCTCCGGCCACTGTGAGTCGCACAACTTTTCATTAAAACTTTAATGAAAATCCTAAAATGAGAAGGAAAATTGGAAGGAACTCAACGTGAGCCATATATATATATGTGACAATGGCACTAATCTATACACATATAATAAAATTTGATTATTTTTTAAATAGTAAGGGTTTTCTGTCAAATAAATGTTGTTTACTAAATTTAGAAATTATTTAAACATTTTATGGTATGTTTTAAAGGTACAATTGAAATAATTCCTGTTGATGTATTATGATAACTAGTACAGAGCCCGTGCGATGCACGGGGTGTACAATTTTAAGGTCATTTATCCATTCTTATAATTATATAAATGAATAAAAAAAATGTATGGGATATATATAGTGCGTGACCTGTAATAGGCCAAAATGTGAACACGGGTGATGCAATACAAGTCTCGCACCCCGACCGGCTGGAAATCGTCTAAAGCTTGTTCTCCTCGCCGGTTGAACACGGAACCTGCACGAAACTCCCACACCGGAGGTGTTTTCCGGTGAAGAGCCTCCAATGCTCAAGTCAGATCTTGAGAGATAATATAAGTGTGTGAAACATATTTAAGAGTATATGAGATTGTATCTTAAAGTGAGGATTCTCGCCCCTATTTATAGGGGCGAGCTACCTGTTCTACACGCGCGAGTAGGGCGAGTTCGGCCAACTTTCCTCTGCTCGTCCGTACAACCGTGCGCCTCCACTACCCTTGATGTCAGGAAACGCGTCCCATTTGTCAGGGAATGTCAAAGTTCGTTATAGCCATGGGCCACTCATAGAACGCCGCGTGTCCTCCCTTTCACGTGCTGGAGATTCCCCTGTGTACTCTGCTGTTCGACCAATTCTATACGACCACGTCCCATCCGACCATCCTCCCTCAACCAACTCCTCGAGTAACCAGCGCCTGTCGACCACTTCTGGACCCATTAGTCTCTGCTGCCTGCTCTCTGTCCTCTATTGCAGGTGTCTGGTCCGGTTCGACCATATCATTTGACCCATCTTATTTAGGTAATCCGACGAACCGGTCTATTTTCTCCGGTTAGCCTAGCAAAACCGGTCTAGTATATAATATCCCATATCACACGTGGTGCACAATTTTAAGGTCATTTATTAGTATAGAGCTCGTGCGATGCACGAGGTGCACAATTTTCTAGTATGTGTAATAAAAATACATACCGTATGCACGGGACAGAAGCACTAAATGAGTCATTTCTACAGAGCTTGCCCGTTAAGTAGCTCCTGAACACGG